AAAAAAAAAAAAAAGAGTTACTGCAGATAGATTGAGCTTGAACCATGGGCAAGGGGGATGAGGCCACTTTGGGAGGACACGTAAAGGAAAAAAAGGCCAGGACTGAGCTTAAAGGAATTAGAAAGGTCAAGAAGAGGGTGACTAGAAAGGTCCAGAAGGAGGAAGCAAGAGCATGCCATGTAGTAGAGGGGAGGGAGCCAGCGGGGTCCCCGGCGATGAAGGCTGAGCCTGTCTAATGATTCTAACCTTGAAGAGGAAGCCATTACTGACTTTTCCAACACCTGTGTTCGGTAGGCGAAAGGCTAGAGGAGGGTGCAAGCAACATGGGAGGTCGGCAGTCATGAGAAATGTGGCTGCAGTAGAGATGTAAGAGAGGATGAGAGAGGAAGATACAGGAGAGAGATTTGTCGTTGAAGCAAAAGTTACAGCCAATGGAAAGGACACTGGATTTGCAGAGAAGGAGGGAGACTCGCAAGCAGTGGTGCAGTAGTGAATGCTCAGCAACCAAGTCCTTTACAGCATTTGCTACTATCTCACCATAGCGAATATCAAGCTACCAACCTGACTTTGCTGAATGCAGGTGGGGATTTCAACAATCAGCTCTCACTAACTAGTACAAACCAGGGGTTCAGAAACTGCAGTGATGTCCATGGCTATGGGGTCACAATGGGCCAGGCAGGCATCATGCAGAGAATTGGACAGGTATAAGACAAACAGGAGTGAAGGGACAGAGCCTGACTGAGGGGACCCTGAGGGAAGGCAGGCCTGGGTAGCTGGATGTCCCAATTCTATTTTTTTTTTTTTTTTTTGCAGTTTTGGCCATGGCCAGGCTTGAACCCACCACCCTCGGCATGTGGGGCCCCGTGCCCTATTCCTTGAGCCAAAGGCTCTGCCCTGTTCCAATTCTTTCCATGTGGTGACATGGGAGCCCTTTGTCTCTGCCCCACACCATGCCACTATTCCTTCATTGACCCTCTTTCTCCCCCTCCTGACCTTCCTCAAGTTTCTGGAGTTTTCTGGGGGACGTTTGTTTTTGATTTTGTTTCAGAGACAGTCTCGCTCTTTTGTCCTCAGTAGAATACCTAGAATGTCGTGGCATTATAGCTCTGCAACCTCAAACTCTTGGGCTCAACTGATCCTCCTGCCTCAGCCTACCGAGGAACTACAGGCGCCTGCCACAACACCTGGCTAAAGTTTCTGTATTTTTGTCCCCAGATCCTTCCCACTGCCTCACCTTTCCTTTCTGCTTTGTGCTGGCCAATGGCGTATTCTAGATGAGCAAGACATAGTTCCTATCCCTGAGGAACTCATGGACTGATGGGGATGGGGGACCCTCTCAGGACTCAAGCTGTTACCCAGAAGCCTGATGGGGCATCATCTACTGCCAGCACCCAGGCAGTGAGGCAGAGGTGGCAGGAGACATGGGATGGCTGTCCAGACACTCAGGAAGATAGGGACAGAGTGAGGGCATTCCTGACAAAGGAAGGGCACTGCTTGGGCAGAAGTATGAGGTGCCTGTTAACATGTTTATGCGTAGCTGGGGCTCAGGTGCCAAGAGCTGCAGTTTGACATAGAGTGAGGCTGAAGAGTAAGTAGGGCCCAGACCCCACCTGCTTTTGCAGGCCCATTGAGGAGCTTGCCTTTACACAAAGAAAGGTCTAGGACAAAGGAGTGACACGATCAGATGTGTATTTTAGGAAGATCATTCTGGTTTCAGTCTGGCCTAAACACAGTGAGTCAATGGGAGGCTGCAGGGAGCTGAGCAGAGGGTGATTGATGGGGCCCAGGCTGAGAAGCAGGTTCAGTAGAGAGGAAGATGAACACAACTGACATTTTACTGTCTGTCAGTCCTGGTCCCAGCACTTTACATGTATTACCTTGTGTGACCCTCCAAACAACTCTTGATAAAGAAACTGAGGCTCAGAGAGATTAAGGAACCAGGTAACAAATTATGACAGCAGCCAAAAACAAATTTAAGAGCTTGCTGATGGTTGGATGTAGGGGGTGAGGCAGTGGGAAAGATCTGGGAGCAATACCACTCTGGTATGATGGGAGGTGGTGCCATCCATGAGACCCAAGGCCTGGAGGAGAATAGGAGGGAGCTGGAGAAGAGGAGTTTAGTTGAGATATGATGTCTGGGGGCCTTAGTCACATTCAAGCAGTGATGTCCCCTACAGAGACATTTATTCCAGCTTTCCAGGAAGAGGCTGGGCTGGAAGTATTGACTTGGTAATCAGACACAGAGATGTGCTTGAAGCCATGGGCATGGCACAGCTTGGCCCAGCCAGGGAACATGCAAAGTGAGGGGAAGCAAACCCTCAGGCTTAACTTAAGAGGCTGAGGAGGGAGAGCAGCTGGCCAGGGAGTAGCAAGGGAGCAATTAGGAGCAAGGTGAGTGCTGGAGGGGCTCAGGGCACAGGAGAGAGGTGGCTTCAATGATGAGTGGGGGTGAGCAGGTAGATGTTGGTAGCATCTTTCAAGGCAGAGACTGAATTGAGAATAGACTACTGGCTTGGCGCCTGTGGCTCAAGCGGCTAAGGCGCCAGCCACATACACCTAAGGTGGCGGGTTCGAATCCCCAGCCCGGGCCCACCAAACAACAA